TCTTTCCCTTCTTCCCATTTTCAGAAAGCACATGACTTATTGAATGGATGGCAAAATGGTTTCAGCTGGTATACTGTGCAATGAAGTCTGTCTTAATCAGCTTCTAGATTTTCTTGCTTTTGCTGTAAGAACAATGAAATTGTTGGAGAGGAGAAAAGCAGTATCTGTATTGTACAGATTTCTAAGCATAGTTGAATCGTATGTTGCAGCAGTCAAGTCCAACAGAGGTAAAACAAAAAAGAGAAATGTGCAAATTGAATGATAAGATACTTCTATAGTTGGGAATGCAATGCTTCACTTTTATTGTAGCATTTGCATTTTTTTAACACATGCATACCTTGCTGTGAATTAACAGCTCTAGTTGGATTTTTTGAGGGTTTCTTTTTTAAAGCATAAATACTAAAGTATAGACTTCCAATGCTCATATCAAAATTCACTGTCACTTGGTAGCTTGGTACTAGGCTAGTACCTTTTGTCTGGAATCATCTTTGGAGAGAAACACTGCATATGGGACTTTTGCATACTCCAGGACCGCCAGGTGCTCCTGTGGGGTTTTGCAGGGCAGTGTTTGTTTGGGTTTTTAAGCATAACCATGCAGGTACTACTGTGATGTGATTCAGAGAACAACATGCTGTGATGAGCTAGTTGTGGTGCTGTAATGACTTTTAATGCTGTTTGCCCCTCTTCATAGAATCGTAGAATCGTTTTCCCATCTGTGACTGCTGGACATGGCACATAGAATCATAGCATGGTTTGGGTTGGAAGGGACCTTTAAATATCATCGAGTCCAAGCTGCCTTCTGTGGGCAGGGACATCTTCCACTAAACCAAGTTGCTCAATGCAACTTGGTTTAGGTTGCGTCCAACCTGACCTTGAACACTTCTAATAATGGGGTATCCACAACTTCTCTGGGCAACCTGTGCCAGTGTCTCACCACCCTCATCATAAAAAATATCTTCTTTATATCCAATCTAAACATACCGTATTTCAGTTTAAAACTGTTGCCCCTTGTACTGTCACTATAGGCCCTTGTAAAACATCTTCCTCCATCTTTTTTATAAGCCCCCTTTATATATTGAAAGTCTGCAATATGGTCTCTTGGGAGCCTTCTCTTCTCCAGGCCAAACGACCCCAGCTCTCTCAGCCTTTCTTCATAGGCGACATGTTTCAGCCCTCTGAGCATTTTCATGGCCCTCCCCTGGACTCGCTCTAACAGGTCCATGTCTTTATTGTGCTGAGGACCCTAGAGCTGGACGCAGTGCTCCAGGTGGGGTCTCACTGTGTAAGTCTGTCCAGCTTGTTGGTGAAGACCCTCTTGTCCCACTTGGTCAGGTGAATCTTATCAGCTCCTAGCAGACCCGGCTTCTCAAAGGTAGGTCCGTGATCATGGAAGCCAAAACATAAGTATTCACACTCCAGTACATGAACCATATTTGGCATATGTCATTGGCCTGGCATCACACTAAGTAGTCCGAAATTACTTATTTTTTTTGTAATATGAATTACATTCTTTTTTTTAGGGAAAAGGAGTTCAGGCACTGCAGAAGCAGTGCAGCAGTTGCAGTGTAGTCGTGAGAGAGCACATGAATTGACTGGAGAGATTGTGAGCTAGGTCCTGTCGCGTCTAATCCGTACTCCTGGTGTAGCTCAATTACCTCAGGTGTTTGTAGAGTCACATCTTTCTTTTGAATTGCTGAGATTCATCACATGAAATTACTTGCATAGGGAAATGTTGCGTTATCAAGACATCCTCTTTTTCTGCTTAGTTGTGATTAGATACAGTTTCTTTTGTCTCACAGGTTATCTGCTTGCCCATATATTGATTTGTGTCCTCTAATTAAAAGCAAAATGTTAACCATTACTGGTTAAAAACAAGCACTTACAAATAAAACTGTTTTTTCCATGGTACATGCACAGAATCATGATCTTTTCCTGGATCCTTCTTGCTTGTTCAGGACATCATGATTCAACAAGGACAGTGTTGGTTGCTTTCACAGATGTTAAAACTCCATGTGTGATTAATGGAGAATGTGTAGATACTTATTATTGTACTGCGATTGTGTTGATAGCATTTCATCACTGTTACAGTAAGAATGGCAACTTTTAAAAGATCTTTAACTTGTTTTTCCCCTAGTCTGTAGTATTTTTTTGACAACTGTCCTGGTTTCAGCTGGGATAGAGTTAATTTTCTTCTTAGTAGCTGGTATAGTGCTGTGTTTTGGATTTAGTCAGTCAGATTTGCATCAGTCGGGGGTGGTGAGCAATTGTGTCGTATATCACTTGCTTTGTATATTATTATTGTATTGTATTATTATTACTACTACTACTATCATTCTATTTCATTTTACTTCAATCATTAAACTGTTCTTATCTCAACCCAGGAGTTTTCTGACTTTCACCCTTCCAATTCTCTCCCCACCCCACTGGGGGGGAGTGAGTGAGCGGCTGTGTGGTGCATAGTTGCTGGCTGGGGTTAAACCACAACAACAGCTTAGTCTCTAATGACCAAAGTGTAACTGATAGCTGAAAAGGGTCAAGCAAATTTCAGGTAAACATTGGAGTATAGTTAAACAACCTTATGTCTCTTTGAAAGATCTTTCTCATAGTAGAGTAGGTAAGGAGTTCACCAAGTGAAATAATACTCTATTCCTAGAAGGTACTGCCTCGTTAGTTTTTTTCTAGCAGGGAAGTATTTCCATAAAATGTCTGCTAGAAAAGTAGCGTGCCCATGCTTGCTGTCCTTCAGAAAAATTCTGAGTCAGCAGGATGGGAACCAGATGGATGGGAGAAGTGGAAGCATAATGATGGGCAGAAAATAATAAAAAAGTGCAGATGTGCAGGGAGAGAGAACAGATCTTAAGAACTAAAACATAAAGGAGAAGACGATTCAAAATGCACTATGGAGAGGACATATATATCTTGGGCTTAAAAAATATATATGGAAAAAAAAGTTACTGTTCTCTCAGCCCAAGTGACCTCATTTGAGACTTGCTTTCTCTTTGTTCCCAAGAGGACATATGCCCAGACCTCTGTAGGAAATCTGGCTGCCAGCTGGCACAGCACCTTTCAAAGAGACCTAATTTTATATTTTCAGAACCTGGCAATATGAGCCACCTCCATCTGTAACAGGCTGCTGTTTGTAGTATCTGGTAAACTGCATTTTAACATTTAATTTTAAGTTTCTTCGCCAACCTATTAATAAGGGCCAGGCTATTGAGAGCTGTCAATAGGGCCAAAAAAAGTGTTTTGATTTTGAGATCTGTGGGTTCATGCTTTTGTTTTTCATGAATTTACATCTTTTGGCAGGCTCTAGGATAGTAACTTGTATGATGAAATATCATGTCTCCATATTTTAAGTCTGTATTGAGAGGAGGCTGGAATAAATCCTTTGTAATAGTAGTAGAAATCTGCCGTATTAAATTCAGTGTTAAAATTGGAGGCAAAGTACTTGGAGTACTGGCTTTAATTTTTCTGGGATAGAAATCAGAAAGTATTGAGCACATCATCATATTCTATAATGATTTGTCCAGCTAAATAGAATTTAACGTGGGTAGCGACAGAGCAAGTTCAGTTCTCTTGCTGTGGCTCTACCTGCTGCAACAAAATTTCCAAGCCCTCTCTGGCCAGCTTGGGGAGGGTGCCTGGGGAGCTCTCTTAGTAGCAGGCAGAGCTGCTCTTGCAGAGTTCAGGTGATGACAGGCAGCTTATTTGAGTTAATTTAATATGAGGAAGAAAGCCACCTCAGATCCCGAAGAGGCAAAAATGGCCACTGCCATGTGGCAGCCACTGGTTCAGCATGGGTCTGCTTCAGTTTGTCCTAACTGTAGCTCCAGGCTTTCATTGATTTCAATCTGTCTTAAACCTTGGCACAATCAATTAGTTCTCGTAATCACTAGTAACCAATGTTTGATATTCATATAAGTCTGAGGAAAAAAATTGATTTGTTTTGGGTATAATTCCAGAATACTTTGTAAAATTATTTGCATTAGAAGAGAAACCAGATATTTATGTACAGTAACAGTGAAATACTGCACCCAAAGCTTAACTGAGATGGTTTCTGTAGTGTATAGCTGTAATGTTGAAAAGTTTGTCATTTATATGAAATTTATTAGTATTTCTTTGAATTCCTGTTAATATATTTTCTGGGTTTTTTTCAGCTCTTCGTTGTAGCCTCCAGTTTCTTGGAAACATTGCAGCAGGAAACGGAGATTCCCAGAATAGCATTTGGAAGTGTGCTTTCCCAGATCTGTTCTTGTAAGCATGGATGCGGGTTTTTTTTATAATGTAATTTCTGTGGTTATATTCAAATCTTTTGTACATGATAGTTGTGCCTCTACTAGCACTATGAAGCTTTGAAAAATAACTTTGGGGAGAATGGGACAGTTGAGACCATATCCTGTAGATGTTTTTTTTGTTAGTCAACCGCAGGGGTCAGGACTTTTAAAAACCTGCTTGTTCTAAACTAACAGTAAATTGATTTTAACAGAAACCGGAAGAAAACTATTTCAAATTATGAGCTTCAAATGTAAGCTTTATTTCAGAGGTGTTTTCAAGTAGTTATACTAATTTCCAAGAAAAGAGCTTTTTCTTTATTCACTTTGCTGCTGTGCAGACCTGTCAGTATTTGTGGATCAGACAGAATCTACAAAAATGATGTAATCTTTGCATCTTCCAATCCTTTTGCCCCCCTCCTAACCTCACCAAAATACCTTCCTGGAGGTTTGATGACATATATGTAATGAAATGTTATATAAACGATTTTATGCAGACACATGACAATATTGTTGATGTGTTTGGCCACATTTTTTGTAGTGAGCTAGTAACAAAGGCACATTCATTCAATTTGATACTCATTCTGAGTGTTTCTGGAGCCCACTTGTCAGCACTGGATGTAGAAAGACTTTATGGTAATAGCAGCAGATAATTATTATGGTTTCACCCAATTTCTAGATCTCCAGTTAGCTCCAGTTTAGCATTAGTTTTGTAAGTTGCATATAAGTTTGACCTTCAGCTGGGAGTCGGATGTTTTTCTTTGCAGATGACTTCTGTCCCTCTTAGGCAATGACAAACTCATGTTTCTCTAAAAGACAGCAAAGAACAACAACTCAATAAGCTGAATGCCGCTAGTCTGTTTTTGTAGGGCCAGTTTTAACTTACTCTCTTAACTCCTTATTTTCTCTTGAAGGACATGCCTAACGTACAGTGATGAGAAAATTGTGGCCTATTGTTGTATGGTCCTGTTCACCTGCCTTAATTCAGTGAAAGTGAGAGAACTACTGGATCCTGGGAACTTGACTGTGGCTCTCCATGTGCTGAAAGTCTACAAAGAGCAGTTGGAGTCTGAGTGGTCGTATGTATCTTTAGATTTGTGTGCCCCCCCCCCCCCATTAATTAGGTGCTTTTCTAGTGGAAATCTCTGTATTAAAATGTCTAAATTTGTGGCACTGCTAAGTAGTGAATGAAGATCTATTTAGAAGTTACTAATTTGGTATAGAGATAATTTTCATGGTATTTTGACTGACTGTTTTGATTTCTTCCGAAATAAGACTACGTTTTTGTTGAGGATATAGATGGGAATTTTAAAATCATGGTCTCTTTTTTAATGAAAGTGTTCTATAATGCAAACTAATTTATACTTGTGTGCTGGTTTGTGGAGATTTTTGAAATAAAGTTAACACAGAATATAGTCTTAGAGACTTCGGTTATTGGGGCATGCTAGGAAGACTTGTATGACTAATGCTTGTGAGTACTACATAAAATGTGGGATTTTTTTTCTTTGACAAATCTGTTGGCTCATGCAGCATGCAATCATTTTTATACTAAAACAGAGAAGACATTTTGTTTGTGAATATTGCACATTTTGTTTTCATACTTTAAGAGCACCTAAGCAGTGGTTTTATTTCACTGATTTTTTTATATTTTTTGCTAATGGCCATTCTTGCAAATTGTTGTCAATTATGCTTTTGAGAAACTTTCTGCCCTGCATCAGCAAGGATACACATTCAGTTAATTCTTGTATGATGCATTCCAAGGGGAAAAAAAGGATAGTTTGTATGTTTTTGTAGCATTCCTTTGAAGGTCATGTTTAAATTCAAAATTTAATTAGGAAGAATTGTCAGGGTTTTACTAGTTATTTGAAAAGTCTCTAAACAGAGTTGACTGAATGAAAAGCAAATGTCACTTAATGGTTTGCTTTTGTACTGAAAAAATGACTTTAAAATTTGTTTGTGGCTGAGCTTTTTTTCATAACTAGATCAATCTGCATAGGACATAAATAGTTTTCAGAAAGCAAACTTAAAGTTTAAGGGCCAGGCGACCAGACTTCTATTTCAAAAGTGACAAACCGAGTCTTTATTTTTGGCATCTGTCAATATAAACACATGTGAAAGATTTGCTTTTCAGATCATTATTTTGATTATCCTTCATTTTCTTTATGTATTGAAGATATGCTGAAATGTATTTTGACTGAGATAGAAAGCCAGGGAAAGTCGGAAGAGGTTGTCATGCTGTTACATTTCTATTTTGAAGGTAATCACAGAATAAATGCAGCATCAGAATAAATGCCGAGGTATCAATTTCCCTGTTCTTTCTAGTCTGAAGTGCATTCTGTTGACATTACAATGAAAATGTCTTACTTCCTCTATGGATGTTTGATGTGGGTGGGAAATGGTCTCTCTTCAGAGTAGTCTTGAAATTAAAAAGAGGCAAACTTCTATACAAGATATAAAACCATGATGAAGGAAAAAAGATGGGTAGAAAAGAGTAATCCTAGTCCTGCTGTAAGGCAGTTGCAGAGTGTTTGCCCTCCAGTTCCTCTCAGAATGCTGAGTTCCTCATACAGTAAATATACAAAAAGCATTGGAATATCTTCCAGGTGTTAAGAAAACAATACACGTGTTTTTCTTTCGTAGTACTTTAACATGGTCTAGTTAAGTCTCAAAGCTCATTATCAGTTTTCCCACTGAAAGAAAAAGTAATGAGTTTGTAGTATAAGTTTCTTCACATTTCATACAGTCGTCTTGAACCGAATTATAAATGGAAATCTTTCAATAATGCTGGCACTGTTTTCAAGTCAACACAGGTAAAGTGCATTCACAATTGCAAAACCTAAACCAAAAAGTGTATTGCAACAGTGCAGTATCAAGCATTGACTAGGTATTCAAACAGCATTACCTTGAAAGCGAAAAAGATAATTCCTTGCTAGAAAGGGACTGATTTTTCTGTCTTTTTATAGCTCTAGAGCCTTTTTGTGATTCATCTTGTACCTATTTCCCTCCGTTTCTTGATCCTCACTTCATTTGTTCTTCTAATACTCAATTTCTTATATCTTCCATCTCAAGAAACACATTTACTCTTTGGTTCTCCCTCGTGTTCATCTGTTCTTATTGTGAGATACTATATGTCATGGCTGAGGGTAATTTAAATGGCAAAATAAGTTCTTTCTTCATATTAGATTTAAAAAAAAAAAAAAAATTCCATCCTGAAACAAACTTATGATATTTATATATTAGAATGTGTGTGTTATCTTTGGTCTACTTGGTGCAGAGGTAAGAAAGTAACATTTTCACATACTTCTTTATTTAAAAAAAAAAAAAAAAAGGTTGGTGTAAGAGGTTTGTTTTTCATATTTTCAATGGAAATCTGCTAGTGTGTACCCTTCCTTACGCAACATTGATTTAAACAAAGTCTTTTTTTTTTCTGGTTTTGGTTATGATTTTTTTTCTTTTTTTCTCCCCTCTTCCAGTTAGCCATAGGTCAGTGTGTTACACTAATGTAACGCTTTTCTCTTAGACCATACGTGCATCTTGTGGGTCTGTACTACGTGGTGTATTTCTGTGTAGTTAAAGGTTAGGAAGAGCCTACAAAGTCGGTAGTCTTGTTTCAAGTAGAACAACCATTGTAAGGTCTTGCAATTTTTTTTTTTTTTGCAAAGTATTGAATTTTTTTTTTTCCACCTGTTATCTTGGCAGTATTAAAACAGCATGTATTTCAGAGGCAAGGAGTTGTTCTTACTTTAGCTTTAATTACAGAGGATATTCGCTTAATCCTATGAGTAACTGACTACATTTTCATAAGGTACCTGCAGTTTGTATCTTAGATTCTTCTTTGCATTTTTCTATCATTTTTCCAGTTGTAAAACACATACTATAAGAGTGTTTACAGGGTGTTACTCCTGATGTCACACAGCTGAACCTCCCACTCCAAATAGTTTTCTCTTTTTTCCTAGAATATTAGAATTGAGGGTAGTCTTGAGTTGGGCCTGAAAGCCTGTTTCTTTTACTAGCCCTAATCTTTCTACTGTGAGATAAACGTGGGTGGATACAATCATGTAATGTAATGATGATACCTTCCGTTGCTTGCTTGCTTGCTTTCCTTTTTCCTATTGCTGAGCAGGAGGAAGCAAGCTAGCCAGCTCTTGTGCAGACTTTCTTGTGTCCTGCCTGCTTGAGCAGTTTTGTCTGCTGTTTCTCTGTATTCAGGGGAAAGCTCTACTGATGCCAGCCATGTTGCATCTATTTTTCTGTAGGAAACTCTTGTCAACTTCTCACCGCTCTCTATTTACTAGTGTAGAGCGCTGGTCTGTTCCTGTGATCAGGCAGTGTCCAGAAATGGCTTCCTAACATGTACTTTGCTGTGAACAGAAAAGCTGAACAGTAAACAGGATTTCTTACTTTGGTAGAAGTAATGTTACTTACTTTGGCTGATGAAAGCTGAAAATTCTTGTCTTGAATATAAGAACATTTTTTTTGACAATGATAAGTGAAAAGCTAAGCTTTGTCCTTGCATCAGTGTTGTTCCTTACATGTAGTAATGCTGTCTCTTTAGGACAGCTTTTGAAATTGTGTAGGTTTGCATGTGCCTTATGCCAATATTAGCTATTCTTTCATTAGAGCCTTCTGTTTCTAAGACATTGTTGGATATTGAATGAATTGCAGTTTTTTGCAATTAGGTGTGTGAAAGACAGACACAGTCGTTTGGAGGATATGTTTAGAATAAGTTTGGACTCTGATGTATTGCTGCTTTTGCTTTGGTGTCCATTTTTATCATTGCATATAATCTTCCTGGTTTGAACTAATTCTTGGTTCATTAGTAAAGTGCTTATTTTTTTTCCCCCTCATCGAGGAACTATATTACTTTCTGATATGGAAGAGTATGCATGAGATATAATAATGTAAAAGTGCATAAAAAGATTTCTGTCCCTTTTCTTATGAAGTCAAATCTAAGCTTTGGACGCCTCTCTGGCTGGACTGTAGAAAAAATATTTTTGTCAGCAATTCATTGAAAATTTGGAGCTGTACTTTAGCTCTCACTGAAGTACATACCACTAGGATTGCTTAAACGAATTTACATAGCCGCGGTATTTGCAACAGAGCCAGTACTCTGTTGTGAAGATTTGGGTCCCTTGCGCCACAGCTAACAAAGTGCACCGCAACCATTTTTAAGCGGCTGTTGCGGCATTATATGGCTGAGCCGAAATACAAACTGTTCTTCGTCCAGGAGGTTATGCTCACTGCTGGACTCGCAAATGCCTGGAATTAAAATGTTCTTACTTTTAAAGTTAAAAATATTACTTAATTCCTGCCTACCTTCTTGTCTCTCAGCTGGAGCATCCGGTTTCGTATTACACCGAATAAAAAGTGAATGCCACGTGTGTTTATTCCTCTTGGCTGGGCTTTCTTGCTGTCAAATGCTGCTTTTAGGTGTTGAAAATCTTTCTGTGAATTACCAGGCAAGTTTTGGTTATAGGCAAAACTTTTATTCACTATTTTATTCCCTTTTCTTTTATTGTGCACTGAAATTTATGACTTAATGTTTCTCTAAGTTAGTATCCAATGAATTCCGCAAATAAACACTTATGATGCTCAAGTTATTTTTGCAGTTGCTGCCATGAACCATTAGGACAGAGAGAGGACATCCAGGACAAATATTTGGATTTAAGGCCATTGGCTGATCTGTAGTTTCTCCCGTGGGGTCCTTACTGCCCCATTCAGCTAGCACATGTTGGCTTTTCTACTCGTCACCCATCACTGGAGGGCAAGCACATCTTTAAAATCTTTTTTTTTTTTTTTGGTGAATTTGCAATTCCTTCTCTGTTCATGATCCCACGTTCATGTATAGAGTCCAGTTTTCTGTCTCCAAGCTGGAAAAGTCCTTAGGGAAAGTTCAGGAGGATCTTCTTTCCAAGTGTGACGCCTTTGGCTTCTCCCTCCAGTCTCGCAGCAGTTCTATAGGGAGAAGGCTTTGTCAGAGGAAATCTGAGATTATTCTGAGGAGTTCCTCAGAGCTCCTTTTTTAGAAGCAGCTGTTGGTAGCGGACCTTTTGCAATTCCTCTTCTGTCTGCCGTAAAC